CATATGTTGAAGTCCTAACCCTATACACCTCCACATGTGACATTATGTTAAAGTCTTTACAGAGGTAATTAAATTAAAATGAGGTCATTAGCATGGGCCCCAATCCTTACAGAAAGAGGAAATCTGGACACAGACACACACTCAGAAAAGACCATGTGAAGAGATATTGGGAGAAAATGGCCATCTGAGCTGTGCTGACTGCTCAGAGCCTGGAGCCTGTGTCAGATTCTGTGCCTCCCTCTCTCTGACCCTCTTCCACTCATGCTGTCTCTCTCTTAAAAAATAAACATTAAAAAAAAAAAAGTATAAACTATATAAAATATATGTAAGTAAAATAGATAACAGCACAAAGGCCTGGGGGGAGGGAATCCTACTATTTTAAGGGTCTTACATTAAATATGAAACAATAGAATATTAATTTAAGATATAATAATAAGCTAATGTTAAATTAAGATAATTAAGTTTAAGGAAATGTTAGGAACGTATATGGAATCCCTAGAGCAAACACTGAGAGAGTGAGAGGAAGATAGGGAGGAGAGAGGAAAGGAGGGAGAGAAAAATAAAGAAAAGAGAGAAAGTAAAAGAGATAAACTTAACCTTAAAAATCTCTGAGTAGGGGTGCCTGGGTGGCTCAGTTGGTTAAGTGTCCAACTGCGGCTCAGGTCATGATCTCATGGCTCGACCCCGCATCTGGCTCTATGCTGATAGCTCAGAGCCTAGGGCCTGCTTCAGATTCTGTGTCTCCCTCTCTGTCTGCCCCTCCCCTGTTCACATTCTCTCTCTCAAAAATAAATATTAAAAAAAAACCTTTTTAATTTTTTGAGTAAAAAAAAAGGTGTAACAAGGGAACAAAGGACAGACAACACAAAAAGTATCAAGATGGTAGACTTAAATTCAAGCATATCAATAAATGCAATAAACACTCCAATTAAGAGACAAAGATTATTAGATTGGATTGAAAACAACAATAAAACAAAAACAAGACCTAACTGTACACTGTTTTATTTTTTGGGGGGGCGCCTGGGTGGCTCAGTCGGTTCAGTGTCCGACTTCAGCTCAGGCCATGATCTCGCGGTTCATGAGTTTGAGCCCTGCGTTGGGCTCTGTACTGACAGCTCAGAGCCTGGAGCCTGCTTTGGATTCTGTATCTCCCTCTCTCTCTGCCCCTCTCCTGCTCACATTCTGTCTCTCTCTCTCTCTCAAATATAAATAAAGATTAAAAAAAATTTTTTTAATACAAAGGTATAAACCAATAATTAGATACCTGGGAAAACATTTCTACAAATTTTTAGAAGACAGAAAGAGAATAGAAGAGTAAGAAAGAAGTGACGACTCAGGGGGAGAGAAAAATGAGGTCAGGAGTACACAGAGGAGGAAAGGAGCTGATCTGACTTGCAGAATCCCCGAGCAGCTTTTATGTAGAAAATGATGAGTACAGAAGGGTAGAGTGAGTAGTGGGGTTGAAATCAGGATAATTAATTAAGAGTGTGACCCCCCAGAGCCTCAGTACTACCTCCCTCGCAATCTCCATAGTCAGTAGCCAAGGCACTAGGCCTTGGGCAAAAACTGTGACCTCTCTAAAGAATGACAATTTCCTGGCAAAAAAAATTCCAACCTTCTGACACTTAGGGCAACTCTTGCCCCAAGTAACAGTCAACTCTTCACCTTGAGACTTTACTAGTTAAACCCATGAGTAAATAATCCCTATCTATGTAGAGAAAGCCTCTCAATTTTTTCATACCTCATTTTTTTTTAAGTTCACTTACTTATTTTGAGAAGAGAGAGCATGAGCAGGGGAGGGGTAGAAAGAAGGAGAAAGAAGATCTCAAGCAGGCTTTGCACTGTCAGCATAAAGCCCAATGAGGGGCTCGATCTCACGAACTGTGAGATCATGACCTGAGCTGAAACCAAGAGTCGGATGCTTAACCAACTGAGCCACCCAGGAGCCCCTTTAATACCTCATTCTTAAATATAAGTGGACAGAGATATTATCTGATTTTTGATAAAAGCTAAGATCATAAAAGAGAAAGGCCAAGATAGCTAGAGAGGAAACACCTTAAGATCTTCCAGAAAGCAGAACAAAAAGATCAAGGTTGAGAAAACATGAGAACATACAAGAGAAAGAAATTATCCCACAAATGAAGAACACCCATCTTTAGACTAAAAGAACCCTTCAAACAACCCATAATGAATGAAAAACAAAACCTCATATATATATAAATCATTGTAAATGTTTCAGGACACTATGGATAGAGTCCCTGAAAGCTTCCAGACAGGAAAAAATAGTCCCCTACAAAGGGTATGAATACCACCCAAACTAATAATGTGAAAACAGAATAAAGGCATTTTGAGATCTAAGGACTCAGAAAAATTTATCTCTCACAAGCCTCCTTTTAGGGAAATGAACTGAGAGTGTGCTCTACCAAAACAGGACAGAAAACCAAAAAGAAAGATATGAAGGGACACTTGGGTGGCTTAGTTGGCCTGACTTCGGCTCAGGTGATGATCTCACAGTTCATGATCTCACAGTTCGTGAGTTCAAGCCCTGCGTCAGGCTCTGTGCTGACAGCTGGGAGCCTGGAGCCTGCTTCAGATTCTGTGTCTCCCTCTGTCTCTGTCCTTCCCCTGCTCGCACTCTCACTCTCTCTCTCTCAAAAATAAACATTAAAAAAAAAAAGACATGGAATCTGTAAAATAAAGTGCTAAATATATAATCTATATATTATAAATCTATAATATAAACTGCTAAAATATAAGAGTATCAGTTAGAGAGTAGTCCTAGCATGACATCTAGCCACTTAAAACTGGAGCAGGAGAACAGAAGTTCAGGTAGGGAAGTTTCTGGAGGAAAATGTGAATTGAGAATATTTGATGAGATAGAGAATTTAGAGAAAGACAGAAAAAAAGGCTATGAGAAGGCAAACAATGCAAAAAAAAAAAAATCCTAGGAAAAAATTAAAAATCTCTAATATAACCATAGCTACCACAAGACCTTAACGGTGAACAATGTTTACACAGTTGTACTGTTAAGCTTTGTTTGTATATTAATTTTCAGCCCTTAGAGCAAGGAAGTAACAATTATGATTACAGAGTGAAATGTAAATATTACCAATGTTGACAGTGTAAAACTAAAGTTTACCGAAGTTGGAAAACTGAAGGCAAGGATGAAAACTAATGGGAAAGGAGAGGGAATAATTACCGCATTTTCAAAGTGGAGACTCTAGAGTTAGTGGTCAAAAACATTAAATATAGTACTACCATTTATGAAGGTAATCAACAGATTTAAAAGAGTTCTATACTAAAATCAACCACTCAGGCAACAACAGATGTTGGCGAGGATGCAGAGAAAGAGGATCTCTTCTGCACTGCTGCTGGGAATGCAAACTGGTGCAGCCACTCTGGAAAACAGTATGGAGGTTTCTCAAAAAATTAAAAACAGAACTACCCTATGACCCAGCAATTGCACTACTAGGTATTTATCCAAGAGATACAGGTGTGCTGTTTTGAAGGGGCACATGCACCCCAATGTTTACAGCAGCGCTATGGACAATAGCCCAAGTGTGGAAAGAGCCCAAATGTCCATCAATGGATGAATGGATAAAGAAGATGTGGTATATATATACAATGGAGTATTAACTCGGCAATCATAAAGAATGAAATCTTTCTAAAAAAAATTTTTTTTTAAATGTGTATTTATTTTTGAGAGAGACAGAGACGGAAGCGAGTGGGTTAGGGGCAGAGAGAGAGGGAGACACAGAATCTGAAGCAGGCTCCAGGCTCTGTGCTGACAGCTCAGAGCCTGACGAGGGGCTCGAACTCACGAGCTGTGAGATCATGACCTGAGCCGAAGTCGGACACTCAACCGACTGAGCCATCCAGGCGCCCCATACTCGGCAATCACAAAGAATGAAATCTTGCCATTGCCAACTACAAGGATGGAACTAGAGGATATGATGCTAAGCGAAATCAGTCAGTCAGAGAAAGACAAATATCATATGACTTCACTTGTATGTGAAATTTAAGATTCAAAACAGATGAACATAAGGGAAGGGAAGCAAAAATTGTATCAACAAGGGAGGGGGACAAAACATAAGAGACTCATAAATATGGAGAACAAACAGGGTTGCTGGAGGGGTTGTGGATGGGTGGATGGGCTAAATGGGTAAGGGGCATTAAGGAAGATATTTATTGGGATGAGCACTGGGTGTTACACATAGAGGATGAATCACTGGAATCTACTCCTGAAATCATTATTGTACTCTATGCTAACTGGGATGTAAATTAAAAAATAAAAATAAATAAAAAATAAAAAATTAAATATAAGGGTTCTATAATGTTGGGAGAAGGAGGAAGGGGCATATAAGTGAAAGCCTCATTTGTCATACCAAGAAGTTAACAGATATTTCTTAAATAGGATAACTCAAGAAAGAACAATATAGGCATATTATTCAGAAATATGAAGGTAAATGTCAAAGAATATTAGCTAATGAGATAAAAGGGATTGCTTCTAGTAAGTGGGACTGGTGGGATCTACTCTACTGTATGCTTTTATAACCATATATATCAATTAAAACTATTTAAAAAAAATAAGTATAAAACAGATAGGTTCTTTCAGAGGTCACTAGTAACAGAATGTCTCCATCCAGTTTTGTGGTGAAACAAGAAAGTGTATATACTTCTGCCCAATTCTATATCCTGAAACAGTAGCTTGGCACATGCCCTTTGAAATGCTAAAACATAAGGCTTCATAGCAAAGCTCAATGGTCAGGGCAGGGTATCTGTGAACTTTAGTGTCAGAAAGAACCAGGTCTTAATTTAGACACTTCCACTTGCTGGCTCTATCACTTTGTACAAGGGTCACTCTTCTTCTTTAAAAGTAACTTCTTCATTCATGAACTGGAGGAAATAATGTTTACCCCTGGCGTTAGAGAACCCTTATAGTTAACAGTCGCTGATTTATAGTAAGCAATTGATACATGTTAGCTTTAATTATTACTTACATTGGCCACCACTTTTACTTCTTTGTACTGTGCTTCATAGAAAATTCCAGCATTTTCCAGTGCTTCTGTTAGTGAGGGCCCATTTTTCACCTGCTTATCTAGACCATTCACAAATTCCTCGAGCTTGGAACTTGCCTCTTCAAATTCTTTGGAGAACTTCTTTCCCCCTGTCTTATCTAAAATAACAGAGGAAGTATTCATTACAGGATAAAACAGAAAACGTAAAAAAATTTAATCTTTTGAAGAAAACCCCTCTTTACATAACTTGTGAACCTCTTCTTGCTGTGTTAGTATGCAATATTCTTAGTCTCAGTTTCACCTTAAAGGAGCTTCTCCAAATCACCAAACCCACAAAACATATTATTTTTTTTTTTTTAATTTTTTTTTTTTTAATTTTTTTTTTTTCAACGTTTTTTATTTTTGGGACAGAGAGAGACAGAGCATGAACGGGGGAGGGGCAGAGAGAGAGGGAGACACAGAATCGGAAACAGGCTCCAGGCTCTGAGCCATCAGCCCAGAGCCCGACGCGGGGCTCACGGACCGCGAGATTGTGACCTGGCTGAAGTCGGACGCTTAACCGACTGCGCCACCCAGGCGCCCCAAAACATATTATTAAAACAATTCATGTGAACCTGCTAGAGTGCAGCCAAGAGTGTATCATGAAGGCTCCTGTAATTAAGGTGAAAAAAAGAAAGTTCAGCTAAAACGAAGTGTGTTGACTGTTTTTCTTCAAAAATTGGATGCTGAGCTGCTAATTAGGAGTATCAGGATGAGGCTCGATTCTGTTCTTCACTTAGATTCACTATGGAATGTGAGAAAATGGAGGTTCAGAAAAGTAAAGATGAAGACTGAAGATATATCACAGTAAAAATTCTTCCTTCTTACCTGAAGATCCCTGATAATTTGTTATCAGCAGAGTACAAATCACGAATTGTTTTTTCAATAATAGTGACAGTACAAAATGTTACTTACTCTCCTAACTATCCCCATCTTTCCCAGTGACTACCAGAACATGGCTTCAGATGTGGGTACAAATTTTGACTTTGCTTTTTATCAGCTGTATAACTTGTGCAAGTTATAATCAGTGTTCAGTTATAACCTGAAGCCTCAGATTTCTCGTGTACAAAATGGAAGTTTTTAGTATGCTTCTGGGTTGTTGTGAGTATTAAATTAGGTAACGACTGTTAGATTTAAAGTATGGTGCAAAGGGGTGCCTGTGTGGCTCAGTCAGTTAAGCGTCCACCTTCAGCTCACATCACAATCTCATGGTTAGTTAGTGAGTTCAAGCCCCATGTCAGGCTCTGTGCTGACAGCTCAGAGCCTGGAGCCTGCTTCGGATTCTGTGTCTCCCTCTCCCTCCGCCCCTCCCCCACTTGTGCTCTGTCTCTCAAAACTAAATAAATGTTAAAAAAAAAAAAGTTTTTAAAGTATGGTTCAAGAACAAAACAGGTGCCAAAATGAATAGTTGGCAGCCATTTATTCATGATTTCAAAAATATTTATCAGGGGCGCCTGGGTGGCGCAGTCGGTTAAGCGTCCGACTTCAGCCAGGTCAAGATCTCACGGTCCGTGAGTTCAAGCCCCGCGTCGGGCTCTGGGCTGATGGCTCAGAGCCTGGAGCCTGTTTCCGATTCTGTGTCTCCCCTCTCTCTCTGCCCCTCCCCCGTTCATGCTCTGTCTCTCTCTGTCCCAAAAATAAATAAACGTTGAAAAAAAAATTAAAAAAAAAAAAAATTTATCAAATGCCTATTATGTAGCAGGCATTACTCTAGGTACTAGGATACTGCATGAACAAATAAGGATAATTTCTACCTTCACGAAATTTACATTCTAACACTTTTTTTTTTAAGTTTGTTTATTTTGAGAGAGAGAGAAAGTGTGAGTTGGGAAGGGGCAGAGAGAGAGGGAGAAAGAGAAAATCCCAAGCAGGCTCCGTGCTGTCAGCTCAGAGCCTGATGTGGGGGTTTGAACTCACGAACCATGAGATCATGACCTGAACCAAATTCAGACACTTAACTGACTGAGACACCACGCAATCCTCTAGTACATTATTAATTTATTATTTATAATTTACAACCCAAGGAAAAGAGACCAACTAACTAGATGTTATGGGGCACTACACTGACCTTACTAAAGAACATACCCAGGGGTACCTGGGTGGCTCAGTCAACTGAGCATCTGACTCTTGAGTTTGGCTCAGGTCATGATCCCAAGGTTGTAGTATCAAATCCCGTGTCGGGCTCTGTGCTGAACGTGAAGCCTGCTCAAAATTCTCTCCCTCCCTGGGGTGCCTGGGTGGCTCAGTCGGTTAAGTGTTCGACTTCAGCTCAGGTCATGATCTAACAGTCCGTAAGTTCAAGCCCCTCGTCGGACTCTGTGAGGTCCGTTCAGAGCCTGGAGCCTGCTTCGGATTCTGTGTCTTCCTCGCTCTCTGCCCTTCCCCCACTCATGCTATGTCTCTATCGAAAAATGAATAAACGTTAAAAAAGAAAAATTAAGAAGATTCTCTCCCTCCTTCCCTCTGTCCCTCTCCCCAGCTCATGCTCGCTCTCTGCAATAGATAAACTTTAAAAAATAAAAAATAAAGAACATACCCAAGCCACATTATCACACATGTGAAATACATTTGTCTATATATAACCTAACACAGCAAGAAAGCACTAGAAGTAAGGAAAGGGAAAGAATTGTTTTATGATTTTTTTTAGATTTCTTTTTTCCCCTGCTTTATTGAGATACAATTAAAATATAACACTGGCTAAGTGTAAGGTATGCAATGTGAAAGACAGGACTTTACTTATGAAATTCATATGCATGAAATCACTACCTGGAAAACCAGAAGTGCCACAACTGGTCTCCAAAATCTAAGGTTCTCTTTAGGGGAGAAGCCAGTCTAATCATTGAAAAATTACAGACCTGGGAACAAAATCTAAGGTATTCTATTTAAAAAGATGTAAGTATTACCTTTTAAACACTTGAGAGTTTCTGTGCTGCACACATCCACCCTCATAGTCGACAGCTGTTTTTCCTTCAACTCTATCTGATCCTCTGAGCGCTTGTACAGTAACAGCTCTTCAATGAGGGCCTGGGACTGAACACAGACCAGAGTCATATTCATTTATGAAATCATTCATTTACTCTATCTATTCCCATTAACACAAAACATGTCTAAAACCTAACAAAACCAAGAGGAAAGAGGCTCTTTGCACTTCCTCATAATCAGAGATATTAATACCAATTTTCATACCAAAACTGTATTTTTAGTTATATACTTTAAAAGATCCTATCCTTGATTATTCAAAGCTAATTGATGCATACGAAGTTAAGGCTAAGACAAAGGTCCATTTATATCTTCCTTAAATTTTAATGAGATACACATAGTGTTATATTAACTCTAAGCAAGTTCTAATTTAGTAGCACTTCACCAAAGGATGAATCCCTTGTCAGGGGCCTCGGCTGGTAATAGAACCTGGCTGGTCATAGATATTCTGGAAGAAGGTTAATTTTTCCATTAAGGCAACATATAAAACTCTATGTAATATAATCCCAATCTAGATTGCTTCAGAACAGTTCAAACTTGTTTAAAATATAACTGATGTACAATTGAATAAAAATAAATTTTACTGGACTATATAGGGAACTATAACAAAACGGGTGAATAAAGCTTTGGCATGTTAAATGCATTCTTTAACTTACTCGAAATTCGGCAACTATCTTAGACTTGAGAGCAGCTTTTGGATTCGTGGATGCTGTTGAATTAAATAAAAGGTCATTAAGAATACAGACACAAAAAGTTGACAAATAGTAAGGAAGTTTTTCAGGTCTATAATTAAGGGTGTATTTATGAACATATATCAAATATGCACATTTAAGTAATAATATAATTCCTAGAATAAGTATTTCTGTAATATTTCATATTCCTTGAATATTCATATTCCTCAGATAAGAAATTTCAACACTTCCACGCATGACCAATATAAAAGTGTACTCTTTATTTATTTAATTTAAAAATGTTTATTTTTGAGAGAATGAACACAAGCAGGGGAGGGGGGGATGAGGGGCGGGGTGGGGCAGAGGATCCAAAGCAGGCTCTGTGTTGACAGCAGTGAGCTTGATGCAGGGCTTGAACTCATGAACCGCGAGATCATGACCTGAGCTGAAGTCGGACACTCAACCCACTCAGCCACCCAGGCGCCCCTAAAAATATACTATTTAGATACATCTAACCTACTTACCTCCAACAGACCCTTTAAATCACAAAGTCCTAGAATTATGGATTTGGAGATTCTGAGATACATGAAGTACCTTGTTTCCTAGTCTGAGTATAAGAGGATCTCAGTACCTCAAATTAAGAGTGTTCAGGAGCGGGACATCCAATTAATCCTGAACACTGGCTGAAGAAAATTGCTTACAAACATCAACTCTATTCCTACGATTTAAGCTTTGGATTTCTTTTTCTGCTGACTCAATTCACAGCAAAAACAGGCAGGGAGAGTTCTAAGCACATTACCACTGTGGTTCAACTTGGGCTGAAATGATGACTCTCGCTCTTCCTAAGCATGCAACTTATGAGCAAAAGGATGTCAGGACTCCCTTAATCATGATGAATATCATATACTTGCTGGAGTGAAACCATCCCAAGTGTCTTGTTTTACCTCCCAATTCTCACTGTCTTCTACCTCGTTCCCTCCACACCAAGTCCTTCTCAATATTCCTCAGTTTGGCCCACAGCAGCCTATCACATGCAGTATTCCACTCCCTTGATCTCATGCTGGGTAAACATGAGAAACATAGCAAGAGCTCCTGTTAGAGAGTGGGCTTCTGGCCAGGATTTGAGGCCCATGTCTAATCTGGTAGAGTGTCCCCAAATCTGAAGGATTTCATGGCTCCCACATAAATGCTTCTTAATGCCTAGTCTCCTCTTCAGCTCTGTTGTTTAATGCCAGCTGCCTCTACCTTCATATATCTTTCAGTCTGAGAGTTAGCCTGGGCACTATCAAGCATTTTTCTTCTTTCACTCCCCCAACTACTCTTGAATCTTCACTCATTTAAACCCTTTTTCTGCATTTCCTTTGTTTAAAAGTAGGGTTTTTTTTTGTTTTTGTTTTTTTAAAGAAGTAACTCCATGATGGCTTGTTTAGTATATGTCACTGGGTCACTCTCCCAGGCCTGGAAAACACAGGCTTCCCCATGGTTTATGCCAGGTACGATGTCAAATGGTCTACATTTTCTTCTGCTCCAAAAAGAGGAGGTAATTTTATATTAGTTGAGATTTTGTTCCTTACTTTGTGATTTCTTCCACTGCTTATTCGGTTGTTTGTTCAGATTTTCTTTCAGCTGCTTCTGAGTTTTGAAAGTGGTACCTGGAAAACATTTCAGTTTTTGCAATCTGGCATTATGGGAAGCTGTTCTGTCTGTCCACTTCAGTGTCAAAGTTGTAGCATTGAAAAAAGGCAATCCGAGACTGTGTGTTGTTTCTTTCTTTCTTTTCCTTTCATTTTTATAAAAAAAATAAAAACACCCACCAGATCTAAGAAGCTGTCAAATAAACATGATTTCTATCATCAATAAAATCACTGATTTTTGAGAATAGGGCAGGAAGCTTAAAAATACTAGTTACCACATTCAAATGAAGAATTTAACAGCTTCTTAGAAGATACTATTTTTAAAGCAAATTTCTAATCAAATAATGTCAAGGTGTCAGATATCACCAACTTCCATTTAATGACTCAAGTAAATACACCTAATACATCGGAAGTAAATAACTTCTTAAAAATACACAATTTATTGCAAATCTAAACCAAAACAGAGACTAAAGAATGCTTAATATATATGCTTAATATCAAATAGCTTACTGGAAACTGAAACCCCATCAAAAAAAATCCTCCAACAGTAAATGGACAGGGCAGTAATTGTTAAAACACGAATAGTTAAAAATGCTCAATGTAAAGTAAGTGTAGGAAAATAATCAGCCATCATCACTTAATATGCATGACTTTCTCTAGTCAATACAAAATCTAACCCTTCCCAAACCAATTCTAAATTTTAATTCAAACAGATTTTTGTTAAGTATTTAATTTTAAATAAATGGGGCCCAATTCAAAACTTTATTTTTCATTGTTATGCAACAGGCCTACATCTATAAAATGTATATAATTTTAAAGACTCAATGATTTTTTTTTTTTTTTTTTTTTTAGGAGAGAAAATACACTTACTCAAAGCTTCTCTCAGTGCCATTATCATTTCTTCTGGGTACACATTTCTATCTTCCCAGATTTTGAAGATTCGTTCTATAGACTTAGAGACAGATGGATCCCTGAGAAGAAAAAGTGACACAGACATATAAAAATGTGAATTTATATCTCAAACTAGAAATCTGAAACAAAATTATTTTCCAAATGTCTTCTGATGTTTAAGATATTTTTTTTTTCAGGGTGCCTGGGTGGCTCAGTCAGTTGAGTGTCTGACTCTTGACTTCAGCTCGGGTTGTGATCCCAGGGTTGTGGGATCAAGCCCTACGTTCAGCTCCACACTGAGCATGGAGCCTATTTAAGATATTTTCTCTCTCTCTCCTCTCTCCCTCCCTTCCTCCCTCGCTCCCCACCCCCCCTCGCTTGCATGCTCTCTAAATAAAATAAATAAATAAATAAATAAATAAATAAATAAATAAATAAATAAATAAATTTTTTTCCCTACAGTGTCTAGTAAGCTAAAATCTTCACTCTTTTGCCAAACCATAAGAGACTCTTAAAAACTGAAAACAAACTGAGGGTTGATGGGGGGTGGGAGGGAGGGGAGGGTGGGTGATGGGTACTGAGGAGGGCACCTGTTGCAATGAGCACTGGGTGTTGTATGGACACCAATTTGACAATAAATTTCATATTTAAAAAAAATCTTTACTCTTAAAAATTTTTCATTTTAATTTTTATTTAAATTTTTAAAAATTGAAGCACAGTTGACACATTAAGATCATAAACATTCTTATTTAACACTTTTTATCAATGACGTTTATGAGGTTATGGACAGTGCGCTACGCCTTCTGACGGATACGAAGTTATGAGGGCTGGTCCACATGCTCACTGATGCAACTGGCATTCCAAAAGAGCAGGTGAATTTAATAAAATGAAATCTAATATAGAAGCATCTGGCCCCCAAACCAACTATACTAGTACAGAATGAGAGTACAGTGTTTGGCAATGCTATAAAGTGTGCTTTTTCTTAAAGGTACAGTTGGAAATAATCATGAATCAATCATGTACTGTAACAAGTTTTTCAGAAGGCTATCCCCTAATACTGTAAGAAAACATATCTAGAATGAGGGAGGGGAGGGTTATCACTTCTCTGTTTGCTTTACAGATGGGAGTTCTGCATCAGCTGGTCATCATACTTTAAGGAGGAATATTGTTAAAGTAGAAGTATTTGATTACTAGGAAGCAAAAATTAAAATCATGTCTTACCTGAAACTGTAGAAGAAAAACAATGCAAAAGAAACAAAACAAAACAAAACAAAACAAAACAAAACAAAACAAGAATACAAAATGGGAACTTAATCTCTTCCCAGGTGAGTCCACCAACCCATATGGAGACTGAAGATAAAAAACTGAGTGATACTGGTTTTATGGCTCCTTTCAAGCAGGAGACTCTATAAATCTGTAACATCATGTACCACAAAAGACTTTTTAACCAAATAACAGCATGTATAGGAAAGAGAAAATTGTATTAAACTTCTACAGATATTTTCTACGGATTTATGAACCAAGGCACTCTATTCTCATTTCTTGTTTTTTATGCTGGTAATCTTCCTCTCATATACATTTATATATATATATATATTTTTTTTTTTTACATATAATAGTATATATAGTATTCATACAGTAATATTATAGTAGTATATAGTATATATAAGTATGTTATATATTATAATCACTATAATATAAATACTATATATAATATATACACATTATACTATACATATTATGTGTATACATAACACGAAATAATTATGGGAAAATATAAAGAAAAACTTGACTGATTTTCACCAAATGGAGATTTACAGTCTACCAACTTCAGTATTCTACCTTTAAGTCTTTTCTTCCACTATGGATGCTACTATTGTATATGAAACCAATTTTATATTATGTATGTGTGTGTCCATAACTGTATTCTATTCTTTTCATTTAATGAAACAAGCATTTCCCAATGTTCCAATCAATTCCTTATTAAAAATTACTTTTAAGTTTTTTATGTTTATTTATTTTTGAAAGAGAAAAAGAGAGACAGAGTGTGAGCAGAGGAGGGGCAGAGATAGAGGGAGACACAGAATGTGTAGCAGGTTCCAGGCTCTGAGCTGTCAGCATAGAGCCCAACGCAAGGATTGAACCGAACCCATGGACTGTGAGATCATAACCTGAGATGAAGTTGGACACTCAACCGATTGAGCCACGCTTGCATCCCTAAAAATTACTTTTATAATGACAATACTCTATCATCCAAAATTTATCACCTGCCTACTGTTATGTACACTTAGGGTTATTTCTAGATTTGTTACTATAATTAATACTGCAATAAGTATTTTTTGATCAAAGTCTTTCTCCTTAATAATGCCAAAATGTTTTTTTCTAAGAGGGTTATACTCCAACCACCAGTGTAAATATACTGTTCACCAAACTTCTGCAGCAATGGTTGGTCTCACTTCAATTTGTATTCATAATCTCAATTTAACCATTTTACCCTCTTAAAAAATTTTTACTCTCAAAAATGTCATTATACTTAGAAGTAGAATCACCCCAGACCTAAAAAATTTTCAAGATTTTGCCACATTTTCATCTATCTTTTCTTTGTTACAGTATTTTTTCCTTTTCGTTTTTTTACACTGAAGATTTATTTTTTAGTTTATTTATTTTTGAGAGAGAGCAAGCGAATACAAGCGGGGGAGGGGCAGAGAGAGGAAAGAGTGAGACACAATCCAAAGCAAGCTCCAGGCTCTGAGCTGACAGCACAGAGCCCAACGTGGTGCTTGAATCCACGAACTGTGAAATCATGACCTGAGCTGAAGTTGGATGCTTAACCGACTGAGCCACCCACGTGCCCCAAACTGAAGGCTTATTTATTTTTTATTTTAGAGAAAGAGAGAGAGCATGCATGAGCGGGAGAGAGGGGAAGAGGGAGAGAGAGAATCTTAAGCAGGCTCCACGCTCAGCATGGAGCCAGATGCAGGGCTCGATGTGACTAACCGTGAGATCGTGACCTGAGCTGAAATCAAGAGTCAGAGGCTTAATTGAGCCACCCAAGCACCCCAGATTTTATTTTTAAGTAATCTCTACACCCAATGTTGGGCTTGAACTTGTAACCCCAAGATCAAGAGTCACATGCTCCACCAACTAAGCCAGGCAGGTGCCACTTTGTTGCACTACAGTAAAACTTTGGTTTGTGAGCACAGTTCGTTCTAGAAACATGCTTGTAAACCAAAGCACTCATATATCAAAGTGAATTTCAAGAACCATCGGGTCAGTTGTGATCATGTGACATTTGGCATACTGTGAGACATCACTCATTTATCAAGTTAAAATTTGTTAGAAATGTTTGCTCACTTTGAGGAACAGTCACAATACAAGTTACATTCAAGGTTTTACTGTATTTTATTTTATTTAAAAAAAAATTTTTTTTAATGTTTATTTATTTTTGAGACAGAGAGAGACAGAGTATGAATGGGGGAGGGTCAGAGAGAGAGGGAGACACAGAATCTGAAGCAGGCTCCAGGCTGTGAGCTGTCAGCACAGAGCCCGACGTGGGGCTCGAACTCAAGGATCATGAGATCATGACCTGAGCCGAAGTCGGACACTTAACCGACTGAGCCACCCAGGTGCCCCAAGGTTTTACTGTATTTTAAAGCAAATCCCAGCTATCATGTCATTTTGCCCCTACTCTAAAAAAATTCTAACAGTTGGTTATACAACAACAGTGCTACTACCATACCTAATAAAATTAACAATAATTCACTGGCACCATCTTCATTTGTTCTATAATCAAATTTCCTTGAATGTTTAAAAAATGTCCACTTATGGTTGGTTTGTTTGAATTGGGATTCAAAGAAGGTCAACACATTGCATTTGGTTATGTCTCTTAAATCTTTTTTAATCAAGAGCAATTAGATTACATTGTTCTCAGTATTTTTCCCATGCCATTTACTAATGCTGCAGTTGAGGGGTCAGCTCTCCCGCAGAACATTCCACACTCTAGCTTTATTTATTTGCTTCTGTTGGTGTCATTTAACTTGTTCCACTGCCTGAATTTCTTCTAGATGAAAATTATTTGCATTACATACATGCTTAAATTGGGAGAGTGAATACTTAACTAATGATACTATATACTCTATACTGTATCCTATCAGGACATACACAAATGTCTGGATACCCCACCTTTAATAACACTAAAACTGATCAATGGAATGAGGTAATATTTTCTCTTGTGAACTGTGCCTATCTGCTCACTAGCATTTTAGTGTTTATCTAAGGATTAAGTTTATATATAAAATATTAATTATTTTGCCAACATTACAAATACCTTTGCCCATTCTGCACTTTAATTTAAAAAAATTTTTTTTTAATGTTTATTTATTTATTTTTTTTTTTAATGTTTATTTATTTTTGAGACAGAGAGACAGAGCATGAATGGGGGAGGGTCAGAGAGAGGGAGACACAGAATCTGAAACAGGCTCCAGGCTCTGAGCTGCCAGCACAGAGCCTGACACGGGGCTCAAACTCACGGACCGCGAGATCATGACCTGAGCCGAGGTCGGCCGCTTAACCGACTGAGCCACCTAGGCGCCCCAATGTTTATTTATTTTTGAGACAGAGAGAGACAGAGCATGAACGGGGGAGGGTCAGAGAGAGGGAGACACAGAATCTGAAACAGGCTCCGGGCTCTGAGCTGTCAGCACAGAGCCCGACACAGGGCTTGAACTCACTGACCACGAGATCATGACCTGAGCCAAAGTCGGCCGCTTAACCAACTGAGCCACCCAGGCGCCCCTGCACTTTAATTTTTAAGTTACATTTTACAAGAGAATTTTTTTTTAAAGTTTATTTTGAGGTGGGGGGAGGGGCAGAGAGAGAGAGAAAATCTCAAACAGAGAGGAGCTTGATGCAGGGCTCAAACCCATGAACTGCAAGAGCATGACCTGAGCCAAAATTAAGAGTAGGACGTTTGGGGTGCCTGGGTGGCTTAGTCAGTTAAGCGTTCTCCGACTTCGGCTCAGGTCATGATCTCACGGTTCATAAATTCAAGCCCTGCATCAGGCTCTGTGCTGACAGCTCC